GGGGGGGGGAGGGAAAGGTGGGGTTAGGGGGAAGCAAAAAAAAAAAAAAAAAAGACAATATGTGGGTGGTCTGCTCAGGAGACTTTTGACTTTGTTTTTTTGGCTATTTTATTTCTTGGCAGAAAGAGCTCCTGGGGCTGCTCGGCAGAGGGTAGGGCCAGATCACAGGAGCATCCCCAGCCCACCCAGGGGCCAAAGTTCAGCTGGCAGCGGCCACCGGCTCCCAGCGCCAAGGGGGCTCGCTTCAAAGCGCAGACGAGTCAAGAGAAATTAAAGTCAGAAACGGTCTGAGGAGGGGGCAGAGGACACTGCCGGCCCCCTGAGGAGAGGGGGAGACCCAGCAGAGATACTCTGAGCACCCCGCTCCCTATTCCAGCTCTATACAGGCTCTGAGATGCTGCAAGAGGAGACCAGGAATGGAAATAGGATTTTAAGTGAGATCACCCCTCCTTGGGATGAAAGCAGGACTGCATTACAAATACAGAAAAAACTTCTAGATAAAGGATAAGATTCCCATTCTGGAAGCAGAATCAGGACCCTACTTTCAGCCCTCATTAGCTGATGATCATGCTGCTGCTTGAACTTGACCCCCAAGCACAGAGTAGCTGCTGACCGAGCACTTCAAGATATTTGCCTGAGACACAAAAGGCAGACTAACAGAATCTCAGAATGGTAGGGGTTTGAAGGGACCTCCAAAGAACACTCACAGCTGCACATGTAGCCCCACTCTCCCCCTGGTCTTTGCCTGCTGAAGAAAGAGCTTGCTGAGGGACAGCAGAAGGATTGATCTTTGCAGGGATCCCAGAGCCACCAGGCTGGTGCCAGCCCTGGGTACTCACATTAAAGGAAATGGTAGCACAGAGAGGAACTGTGCCAGGGCTTGTGGCATCCCCAGCCCATCCCTGGGGCATCTGGGCTGGTAGCCAGGGTCACATGCACCCCTGATGGCTGCAAAGCTGGTGACCCCACCTGTGGCCACCAAGCAGATGGTCCCAGAACCAGCCAGTGAGGGTGACAGAGCCTCCTCTTTCAGAGAGAGCGGCCCCACCAAATGGTGACTCAGCCCTGTGCAGATCTTGGTCTCTGCTGGCACTGAGCAGGCTTGGCAGGTTGTTGCACCAGGTCCTCCTCACCGTCACCCCTCCTACAGCCGCACGGAGCTGAGCACAAGTTGCCCAGAAACCCCCAACAGCCCCTTTGCCACCACCCCGTGCTCATCGCACTCATTAGGAAGCACCAACCGTAATTCACTGTGAAAGACACAGGGCTGGGCTGGGGGCTGACCTGTCAGAGCTCACCCCAGCTGCTCTCTCAGCACCAGCTTTATCCAAATGATTGCACAGCCAAACCAGAGGCAGCCCCAGCCCTGGGGAGGCTGCCATGGCACTGCCCCACAGCACGGCACCTCCAGCCCCCAGCTGCCTGCAAACATCCTCAGCACCCACTCTGAGGGCCAGGATTTCAGGCTAAAAGTACATCTGTTCACTGACTACAAAGCACCAGCACCCACAGTGCTGGCCTCCCACACTGGGGCTGGCCCCTGCACAAGGCTGCTGGCCAGAAGGGCAGAAAGGACCCATGTGGCTCCAAGGAAATTCAGGCCTCCTTCTCCCTCCCCTCCATAAAGCCGTGAGAAAGTTAATGAGAACCAGCGTGAACAAGCCAGTGTGGAGAATCATCACAGAACAGAATAATCAAATGGTTTTGGTTGGAAAAGAACTTTCAGATCATACAGTCCAACTGTTACCCCAGCCCTGCCAAGGCCACCACTAAACCATATCCCTCAGCACCACATCTACACACCTTTGAAATCCCCCCAGGGATGGGGACTCCACCCCTGCCATGGACAGCCTGGGCCAGGGCCTGACAACCCTTTGGGGTACAAAATTTCTGCCAATATCCAAACTAAAACTGTGCCTCCCCTGGCACAACTTGAGGCCATTTCCTCTTGTCCTTTCACTTACTCCTTAGGAGAAGAGACCTCCAACCACCTCTCAGGCAGCTGCAGAGCCAGAAGGTCTCCCCTCAGCCTCCTTCGCTCCAGGTTGGACACCCCCAGCTCCATCAGCTGCTCCTCATCAGACTTGTGCTCCAGACCCTTCCCAGTTCTGTTGCCCTTCACTGGATACAGCCCCTCAGTGTTCTTGTGGTGAGGAGCCCAGAACAGTACCCAAGATTCAATATGTGACATGACCAGTGCTGAGAACAGCAGGACAATCCCTGCCCTGCTCCTTTACTACAGCCGTTTAGATCACAGCAAGGACTGGCCACCACTGGTGGCTTCTTGCTGCCAGGGCTGCTCTCAGAGCCAGCACCTGGGCAGGAAGGACAAGCATCTCCTTAGTCACTGTCCCTCCCAATCCCAACTGCCCCACTGGGAGCTGCCCAGGGCCAAGCCCTACAAGAAACATCCTGCAACAACTCCAGCCTCAGAGGAAGATGGCAGCAAAAAATAAGCTCCAGGCACATGCTGCCAGGGCGGACCCCAGCTGGGGAACATGCTCCCAACTCCTGGCTGTGGGCAGGGGGCACAGCAAACAGCTAAGAGCTGGTGGCCTGCTGAGCCAGCAGCACATTCATCCCCTTTGTCCCATCCAGTGGGAAATATTTTCCATACGTGTCAGGTCTTTGCACCAGCCAAGTCGTGAGCAAGCGCCTGGTGACACTCTCCAGGCCCTGGCAGCCCCAGCAGGCTGGGGACAGCGGCAAGAAGAGGAGGGCGACTCACATGTGATGAAGTAATCCTGCTGCCTCTTGAACTCCAGGCCCATGTAGTTGGGGCTGAACTCCTGAAACTTGATGGTGAAGCGGATCTCCTGCTCGGGCCGGTTGCACGTCACCAGCACGTTGGGGTCCATGACAGTGCTGCAGGCATCAGCCTGGTCCTTCCTCACCAGGTACAGCTTGTAGTACTCGTAAGGCTTGGATGGCTCCGCTTTGGGGCAGATAATGTCCAGTTTATCCCCAATCTCCGGGTAGATGACCAGCCCTTTCCCAGTCATGAACCTGGAAGAGAGGAAGGACAGAGGTCAGCCAGACGCTTGAGTGCAGCGGGGACCACTCCAACCCATCCCACCCTGTGCACAGCCCCACTTCCACACAGTTTATTTCATGCTTAAATTCCGATGCTTTCTCTCCGCAAGAAATTTTTTGACACCAAAATAAAGTTCTCCTCTTCCTTCCCCATCACTGCATGTGCAAGGAGTTGGTGCAGGCTCCCACAGACCAAACCAGGGGCTGGTTTGGTTCAGCCTTGCTCTCCAGCCCTCTTGCTGCCGCGAGGCCGAGCATCCTTCCCAAACCCAAGCCTGGCATCCCAAAGGGAATGGGGCCTTCCCACAAAGGGCTGCAGAGCAGGCGGGCTGGCCACGCCACAGCTCTGCCCGACGGCCAGGCAAGGAGCTTCCTGCAGGGACAGGTGATAATTAGGCATGGGGAGAAGTCCTGACAATGGGGTGCAGGGAGGGATCCCTTCCACGCCCTGGCTCCTTGAGGAATTCCTGTCCTTAAATGGAAAGGAGGGAAGCATCCTGCAGGACAACTTCTACCAGGCTGGGCTCAACGGCTTGCCCAGGAGCGTGGGAGGACCGGATGGAGAGGAGCAAGGAGGGAGGAAAGCTATTTGAGGCTGGAAGGCAGGGCATTGCGAAGGGAAGGAAGGCAATATGCTGATAATTAGCACTCAGATTTCATTATTGTGGAGCAATACTCTTGATTTTATTTTTTTAATTTATTTTTTTAAGTGTGAAGCAGAGGATGAGGGCAATATGGAGGGAACCAGCAGATCATCTACTTTGATGTAGGCA